AAGTGAGTTTTGGGTTGCAGTTTGGGCATGTGGTCTCTAAAATGTTTGCCATCACTACTGGTCGGGGAGGCCCCTAAAAGGACAGATCTTGCTAAGGGGACACCTTATTATAAGCACCCACACACACACATACAGACATACTCTCTCATTCTCCAATGATGTTTCCTGGGATCGCTTCACAAATAAAACAGTCTTGCTTAGATCCTTACACCAGGGGATCCAAATTTCCTCAGACATATTCTTCTAAAAGAAAAATCTAAGTCAGTGTTAATATTTTTATCATGCTGCCATATTCCATCATTTTCTCATGTGATTTTACAAAGTTCTGAAACCTCTGAAGCATGGCTCCTCCTTTGAGAAGCTTCCAGTCTGATGAGGAAGCCAGGAATAATCTCCCCATAGTTTTCAAAGATTTTTTCTACCCTGACTTCATTTGCTCCTCAGAACCTAAAAAGGGTCACAGAACCAAGATTTCTGTTTGGCAGATAAGAAACCAGCAGCTCTAAGTGGTGAGCGGTGCCATGACCTGGCCCAGTGCCCAGGTCTCAGAGCTGATGATATCCTCCTCTGACCACTCCCTCAACAGTGGCTAGCTCATCACCATCCAAGTGACCTCTTCTCACTGAGAAGAATTATGCAACCAAACAAACAAACAAAAAAGAACTGTGGAACCCCACATTTCTTTGTGGATTCATGTGGTATAAAGACACCTCTATCTGTTGCTCATTTCCCAAATGTTCAGTGACTTTGGAGGTGGAAGATTAGAAGTATCACAAAACAAAAACAACAGCAAAAATAATGCTCTGATAGCCCTTGGGGGTTAGTTATCACCCCAGCCACCCTAGCCCAGGGCACCCCAGTGAGAGCAATGTTTTCCATCATTTTGGAGGCTCATGAAGTCATTTGGACTTCATGCATCAGACAGTACTCTCCCTCAAGAAAAGGAATTTACACAGTGATGGAATATGTAAAGAAGGGGAAAACAGAGGCATGGGAGGGAGTGTAGAGACACATACAAAGTGCAGAAGGAGATTCCTGGGAGGAAGAGTGTTCCAGCCAGAGAAAATAGCATAGGCGGAAGCCTGGAAGTCATGGAGAGGCTTTATTTTTTCTCAAAATTTTTTCATGGAAGTATAATTCCTAATGATTTTTCATCTGTTTAACAAGTTCTTTCTAAGCTTTCCTCTGTGCTAGGCTTAGTGCTCTCAAGGAGCTTATGTTCTAGCTATGGAGTCAACAAATAAAATGGACAATTATTCTCCTGGAAGGCAAGTGCTATGTCACAGGAAGATGCAAGGGGCATGAATACCCACGATGGGCCTCTTTTCAGTCAGGTCTGTGCAGGAAGCACATGGCCATCTCACATCAGTAATCTGAGATGGATTTATTCAGATATGGGCAGTGAGTGGGAGGAGGCTGGTGAAACAGATAGGAGTTGGAAACTCTTGGGCTTGTTAAGAAAGAGAAAAAACCAAGAAATCCAGAGTTAGAGAGACTCTGAGATACAGCTGGTGGGAAAGTGGGAGTCTCAATTGTGGTAGTAACATCAGGAACATCAACAGATTAAAAAATAAGTGTCAGGCGTGGTGACACGAACCTGTCATCCCAGCACTCAGGAGGCTGAGGCAGGAGGATCGCAATAAATCTGAGGCCAGGTTGGGCTACATAGTGAGTTCAAGGCCAGCCTAGACTACACAGAGAGACCCTGTGTCAAAAACAAAACACCAAAGTTAATAAATCAATAATAAAATGTAAAAGCAAGTGAAATATATCAGAACCATCTGGTTAGGTGACCTAGGAGTTTAGAGAAGACAGAAGAACAGGGGGTTAGAATTTGAGAATAAGGTAGCCAAGGAAAATCTCCCCAAGATGGTGGTATTTAAACAGACTCCATGAAAGTACATTTCTAGGTTTCTTTCCCTCATGCCTTCAGTCAGCGGATCCTAACCTCAATCCCTACCCTACTCCCTTGCATTCCCTATCCCAAGGTCAGGGCCTTGTGTCTTTGGATTAAGGAGTGCTTTGAAGGTCCCTCTCATAGGCTTCCTGGGGACAGAAACTCTCTTTCACTTTCTTATTCAATAACAATAGATGATGCCATTACTAAGCACATGTGCTCTGAGCATATAGTATACCATATTTTATCCAGGTCTCATAGCAAGTCTCCAAAGCATGGTTAGGAACAATGAGATATCTCAGTCCACTTTCCAACAGCCATTGACTAGCTGTCTTCTCTAACAAGGCTCCTGTTCATCCTCACTCCAGAGAAGGGGCAGTGGAGGATAGACCTCAAATCCTGAGGGACTGAAAAAGTGAAAAAAAAAAAGATTAGGATTATGCTTTATTTATCCAAGGGGTATGAAGACCAAAGGGCAGGTGGCAAAGGAGGCAGTTTTTGTTACAATGCGAGACCATCCTAAAAATCAGAGCTTCTGGGCTTCCTTGAAGGCAATGAACTTCCTGTCACTAGATGGACATCAGCAAAACTGGGTAGCTTCGTATGAAACATGAATTATATATAGAATTTGTTAGGCAAGGGCCTCAACTACAAAACTGTAAGCATCCTGGGCCACGTAGGGCCAGGAAGAGAAACAAGTAGACAGTGCGCCCTTCTTGTGAGCCAGCAGGCAGCCATGTGGAGCCAGGAAGAAAAATAAGAAGCCAGAAACAAGAGGAGCCCCACCCCAACCCAGTAAGCAATCGGCTGATTCAGAGGATCATAGGCCAAGCTGATAGCAACTAAGGTACAAAAACATCTTAATTTTTGTATTGTTTAATTGACTTTGCAGGCCTACGACCAGTAGTCTGAGCATCTATTTAGAGGGTAATAATATGCAATATAGCAAATATGGAAGATTTCCTTCTGTCTTGTTTTTAAAATCTAATATTGTTCTTACTGTTTTGTTTTGTTCCGTTTTATTATTTTGCTTCCTTCAGTGTTTGGTTTTGTTTGATTTTATTATGTCTGATGGTATGGGCAGCAATTCTGAAGATAACAAGAGGCATTATGGTAACCACTGTTGATTTTCTATTCTGTTTTGGAGTTCTGTGTCATTTACAGTTTTGTTTTGATTGACTTTATTCTGTTTTATTCTGTTTGGTTTTATTCTCTTTAAAATGAAATTTTAAAAAACCAAAAGAGTCCTCCCCATTTGGGGTCTGTCATTAAATAAGTATACAAATCCAAGATGGTCTAAAATAATTAATGTAAAGTTTTAAGAGGTACCATGGTAGCAATGGTTGATTTCCTATTATCCTGTTTTGAAGTCTTGTATCACTTTCACTGTTTTGCTTTGATTGGCTTTGTTCTGTTTTACTTTGTTTAGTTTTATCCTCTTTAAAATAAAGTCCTAATACCCAAGAGACAATCTTTATCTTTAAAGAATCTATAATCCACTAGCTGAGATGGGCAAATAATTACTTTCCGTACCTGTAATAAATAGTCTTATGGAGGAAATGCAAGGCCTGGCAGGATCGGGGAGGGAACTATAACTGGACCAAAGTTATTTCCTCAAGGCTAGTCTATCAGGTGCTGTTTATATCAGAGTCTTCAGAAATCTTGTTTATAAAAAATACTGTTTTCTAGGCTCCACACCAGAACTCCAGAACCAGAACCTCTGAAGTGAAGCCCAAACATCTATTTCATTAGATGAGGTCCCCAAATGATTCTTTGGCAAACTGAAAATTGAGACTGCATGCCTAGATGGTCAGGATAACTCCAGTGAGTGCGAACCTCCAGACTGAGAAGAGGCATAGCTAAGTCAAAACGTGTGACCACAGAAACAACACAGAAGTAATGTGTTTTGATGGAGATTAACGATTTTATACAAAATGCATATAATTTGGTAGACCTTTTTAAAATGATAGCTAATTCTTCCAGTATATTCTGAGTCCCTGTGATTGAGGGTATGTACCTCAGATATCCTGTAGCAGATCTTTGTTTGCAGGGAATGAGAGGTCTGGCTTGGATTTATTAATTATTGCAAGGCCCTAGGCTGGTAAAGAGGGCTTGGATAAAGTTTCCTTACAGAGACCCTGGGAGGCTCTCCTTATCTCTGACCATTCTTCTGCCACTGGCCTCCTGGTCCTCATTTTTCAGCCATCCATGACTATTTCTTTTCTCTGGAGCCTGCAGTCACAAGCAAAAAGGCAACAATTAGAGTAAGAGCCTGGTGATTGGAAAATGAAGAGTGTTCTGCGACAGAGGGCAGTTAGAATGTGGCTGGACACAAGTTGGTCAGGTATCTGAGGGACTCCTGGAGTGAGTGAGACACCTGCTGGGCTAAGGAGAGAGAGATACAGTGGATTCTGAGTCTGAGCTCTGCCATTGACTTGCTTGGTAAGGATGGGCAAGTCCCTTTCCCAATCTGGGTGTTTGCATCCTGTCTGCAAAAGGCTTATGTTAGATGTTTTCTCTGGTTATCCTCCAGTTTTACATTTTTTACATTTTTTTGTCTTTTTGAGACAGGGTTTTGCTATACAGTTCAGGCTGGACTTGGACTCACTTTGTAGCACACGCTGGCCTTGAACTCTGGGTGATCATCCTACCTCAGCCTCCTGAGTGCTGGGATTAAAAGTGTGCACCACCATGCCCAGCGACCCTCCAGTTTTAATATTTCGGAGACAAATAACTCAATGACCCCCAACAATAAGCCTATCAAGAATATGTGCGAGAATAGTATTGATTTTACAGCGAGGAAGCGAAGACCGAAGGAGGAGGAGTGGCTTGCCCACCACCCCACAGCCACACGGAGCAACGCCTGTTTCCACTAGCACCCAGAGCTTAGCTTCGCCTTCTGAAGATCAGCTGAAACTGGTTTAGCTAGGACGAGCCTAAGAGTGGTCTAATGTTCAGGAAGCAGGCTATGCAGCAGGCGGTGCCGGGGACGGAAAGATTGGAGCCCACAACCGGTTGAGGCTAAGAAGCGGGACAGAGGCGCCAGAAACCAGTCCAGGGAGAAGTGGGTGTGCCGAGAGAGGCGGAGCCGGGGGAGGGGACGCCCTGGGGAAGGGAAAAGGGAGCCGACAGGGTGGGAGCGCAGAGCAGTAAAGAGGGCGCCGGAGGGCCGAGAGGTGCAGTGCCTGGGCCACCTTCCAGCAGAGGGAGCAGCGTCCCGCGAGCCAACCGAGCCAACCGAGCCAACTTGCCCAGAGGCAGGTAAGGCACTTTGACAGGATTGAGAGAGCTGAGCTGCAGGAGGGATAAAAATGGGGAAAGCGTCTTCCTTCCTCCCCTTCGAGGACTAAAGCTTTTTCTGGAGAGGGCAGACCCAATAAAGGGGTGCGATTCAAATACTGCACTGAGCGGACCCTTCCAGGACGGAGAGCAGGGCGTGCAGTGCAGGACGTGGGCGTAAGGAGCTGTCTTCTTGTAGGCTAAGCCTGAACCGCTGCTGGGAGGACGGGTTGCGTTGGTTCTGCTAGGGTCTCACAGGCGACTTAAAGTACTTGCGCGCCTGTATAAATACGCACGGGAACACCTGCTGGTCCGCGCCTGATGCACACAGAGCAGTCAGGGACGCGTGCAGCCTCCTGACTCGGCCAGAGCTGCTAGCTCTGTAAACTCTCACTTTACCCGACACAGGTCCAGCAAAAGGATGGTGACTTCCAAAGGCATCTTCTGTTAACAGTACTACTCGAAGGTCTTGCCTGCGAGTCAGGAGACTTGGGCTCTAGTTTGTAGGTTGTGTACACTTGTACAAGACATCTGCCCTGTCTAACTCGTGGTTTCTTTTCCTGGCTCACCACCTGCCCATCTACCCCATTCAACAGATGGGGGGGGGGGAGACTGATCTAGAGAGTAGATTAGTTGACCTTTGTGTGATAGTCCACATAAAGTTCTCCTCTTAATCCCCCTCTTAACTCCCTACCAATCTGCATACCAGAAAACAGAAGGCCTTGGGGTAAATGATTTACCTAGGGGTGCACCAGGATCAAAGAGAACTGGAGCCCATATTTCTTCACTTAACTCCACTTAATACTTCATCTGCAAAGAGATATTGTAAATGTAGAAGCTCTTTCTTATCTCTTGGCCTCTGTTCCAAATGAAAATGATCATTACTAGAAGTATGGAAACCACTTTCAGGTTTTCTTCCTCATTTCTTGCAGTAGAAACCAACATCCTTCAAAATCTCTCTCACTTTACACTTCTCGAAGCATTATTTCCAACTGTGAACCAACGTGCAGGTGCTCAAAATACCTTCTAAAGAGGAGGCGAGACAAGAAACCTACCTTACTGATGAGGAAAGTGAAGCCAAGAATGGGAGAGTGAACTTTTACCAAGATAGATGGCCTAGACATATTGGCAAAATGGACAGAAATCCAGGTCTCTTGATTTCCAGTACTCCAGATAGTACCTGTAAGGATTAAGGGATCTCAGGAATGATCAGAAAGGGTAGGAAATAAGGATTTTTAAAGTGGTATTTCCAAGGATCAAGAATAGTAGTAAGACTTCTAGCTTCTTCTGAGAGTAAGAGAGCAGAGGCGGGAGAGACATAAGGATGGCTATTCTTGGAAATACGGGGTAGGGGGAGATATGGAGAAAGAAAAGGAAACAGTGTGACCAAGTGGCCCAGTAATTTTGTTTGTAGTTTCTATGACACTTTCCCATCTAGCATCACCTCCAATTCTCATGTGAGATAAGCAGGGCAGGGGTAATTATCTCCATCTTATAGATGTGGTTCAAAGGAAATACATGCAAGGTCACACAGCTAAACATACTGCCAAGACTGGAATCATGAAAGAAACCCTTGAAAGGCAAGATCACAAGCAAGATGGACTTGGGCTGTGAGTGCGCAAAATGTATGGGTGTGACAGCCACACCCTGAGTTGGTACACAGGGAAAAGAGTTGCAAAGCCATTGCTGGTGTGTTTGGGGGTCAAGAATGTTTGCCCTTTGGATTAAATGAGGTTCGGGTGGAGGGAGTGTCTGGCTTCTGAAAGAGGCTCAGAAGTCCTCCTCTTCTAACTCACTGCACCTGATTGAGGCAGTAAATTCCCCCTGTCTTGGCCTGCCCTTGAAGTTGCTTTCCTTCCTTTCTTTTTTTTTTTTTTTTGTTCTTTTTTTTAAGCATTGTAAGCTGTTTTTGATGAATGTATTTGTATGCATTTGTACTCCAGATGGGATGCCGTTATAGAAAAAATTTTGATTCATTTATTCCCTAGTGCCTGGGAAATGCATGAGGCATAGATCCTTGCCTTCACCTCACAACACACACACACACACACACACACACACACACACACACACACAATTTCATTGCAGCATAGTGTTCTAAAAGGAGTTTGGGTAAAGCTTTTTGGGAACAGAAGAGATGGACTTCTCTAGGGAATAGAGAAGGAGCTGTCTCAGGAAAGCAGGTAAAGAGTTGACATTGGTTCTAGGACCTGTAGGATGAGTACAAGTTTACTGAACAGATAAAAAGGCAAAGGAAATTCCTGTCTAAGAAAATGGCATGAACAAAGGCAAGAGATATACAGGCGTGAGGAATGTTTGGAGAATGGCCAAGTATAGCTCGCTATCATGGCCACAGAACATTGGGAAAACCATAATGATAAGGCTAGTGTCAGGGCCATGTCGAAAGGAGTTAATGATAATCAGAAGAGCTTAGATTCTTCCCTACAGACAACATGGAGCTTAGAGTAGAAAGATCTGTGCAAACAGAGTCAGGATCCATGGTTTTGGTTCTGCCTGTACTAAGCATGTGATTTCCTTGACCAGAGGGTTGGACTGACAGTGTGGTTCCTAGCATCCCTTCCAGCTTGGATTCAATTCCTATTTCTTCCCAATTTGTTATAAAAGTTCACTGTCAGCCCCCCCCCCCTGCTTTCTAGGCCAAAACAGTGACAAGAGCCCTGAGGGGACAATGGCAACATGATACGTCCCAGTTGTTTTTGGATCTCGGGTCCTTTTTAATACCACTTTTTCTTTTTTTTAATAGTAAGACAATATACAGTTTAATCTATAGATGATCAAATGCAGTGACATAAGAAGATGTAAAGAAGAGCAGTGTTGGTGAAAACTAAATTAAGGCTACATCATTACCATTTTCTTATTTTTGTATTTAAAGAAAAAAAGTAAAACAAAATTTTAAAACATGATAAGAGGGTAACAATGGTTAATACTTTGCATATCGTTATCTTTAAATTAGTTATTCAGAGTCCAAGATCTCAGCATTTAATTGTATATAACTTTTTCTACTTACCTTTTTAACATAATTTTTTTATTTTATGAAAAAAATTTCAAAACAATAGAGAACAATAGTTAATTCACTGAATATCATTATTTTCAAAGTAGTTAAGACATAGGCAAAGAAGATTATCTTTTAAAGAAACAGATTAATAGCACAAAGCTTTAGTTTCAAAAAACTAGTACTGTAAATGAGACAAACTAACATACGTGTTAAAATGTATGAAACAGATTAATAGCACAAAGCTTTAGTTTCAAGAAACTAAGAGAAACTAGTACTATAAATGAGACAAATTAACATACATGTTAAAATGTATGAAACAATGTTTGCAACAATAAAGTGGGAAATTTAGGGAATTATTTGAACTTCTCTCTATGTGTCTTTCTCACCTCAACTTGGGCTCTTAAGATATTCAAAAAGAGTAGCTTAAAAAGCTATGGGAAGTCAGGCATGGGAGTGCATGCCTATAATCCTAGCACTTGGAAGGCTGAGGCAGGAGGATTACTGTAAATTCAAGTCCAGCCTGGGCTACAAAGTGAGTTCAAAGCCAGCCTGAATGGCATTGTGAAACCCTGACTCAAAAAAGACAAAAAAAAATCAATGTTCTCAAAACCAGTGGTAGAATATGACTTTTCTCCAGAGGAACCTGGAAGATAATCTTACCAAGCTACTCAGTTCATCTTTTAGATCATAGCTTTATGCCCCAACCCCCAAAGTAGAAGCTGGGGAAGCTCAAGTCAAGTACAGTTAGTGAGATCTGTTAACGTGAGGGAAATAGCAGGAACGGGGCATGAGGAAGTGAGTAACCCTGAATATCAAGAGTTGGTCTGGAGTGGAGGAGTTACAGAAAATGAGATAGAGGGAGGCTGACCCTCTTCCAGAACTTACCAGCTTCCCTTACTGGATTCTCGACTATGACTGACAAGAATATATACTGCAGGAAAGGCAGTTAAAATGAATTTAGAGAAGAAGATCCCTGCGGCTTGAGGACTGTGTGTGTAGTGTGCTATACAGCTCAGATGTGAGGTGACACTACCATTGGTGGTGTAAAAGCAGCTGAACAGCACCCTTGAAGACCTGAGTTCTCATCCAACCTCTGCCACTCACTGGCCATATCATTTTGCACATCAGTTTTCCCAACTACAGAATGGAAGTATGGGCCTAGAACCCAGGTTGTGAACAACCTTTAAAGTCTCTTGCTTAGTATTGGGGATTTAGCTCAGCAGGCAAGACTGCTTGGCAAGGGCGAGGTTGTGAGTTTGATTCCCAGTACCAAAAAAAAAAAAAAAAAAAAGTCCCTTGCTCAGTAACTCTTTACCTTCCTTCTCAACTGGTCTATCTCCTGTCTTGGCCTCTTCAGGGCAGGAGCTCTGTCCCCTCTTTTCAGGGAGACTGATAATCAGTGTCTTAAAAAGCTTAATAAAGGAGCAAAATGGTAGCACACACTTGTAATCACAGCTATTAGCAGGCTGAGGTTGGAGGATTGCAAGTTCAAGGCCAATTTGAGAAACTTAAAGGATGAGGATATAGCTCAGTGAAGAACACTTGCCTAGCATATTTGAGACCTTGGGCTCAATCCCAGGTACTAAAAACAACAAGGCAAAATGCCCAGCGTTGCTGGTGGCCATTTGGGACCCAGAGGCAGGTTATAGAGAACCAAGTGAACTCTTCATCAGGTCTCTGCCTCTCTTGACCAAACCAGGATGCCTGTACCCAAGCCCAGCAGGATGTGTGTGCCCTTAATGGCCTAATAGAGGAAAGGTTTTGTTAATGTATCCCCTACTTCCACTTTCCAAAGTCTGTTTCTTCTGTAGACTAAGTTACCCTGGCAGGTGAGCTGCCAAGAGAAAAATGAATAAATAAGTCTATTTGCCCTTCAATTTATGTAGACTGAAATATTAGATATAAGTCAGTCCCAGGGCTCAGTAATATTTAAACTGTGAGGAAAACATCTGCAGTCATCTCTTGAGATTTGAGGGGCTCTAGAAAGCTGTTAAAATACCTCTCCCATCAATCAGCCTATCCAGTCCCCCAAGATCTTAGCATGGTTTTAGGATTTGTATTGTCATAGGATGTTAGAGCTGACCAGGGCTCTTTCATTTCATAGAAGCTGAGGCCCAGAAAAGGGAAGTCACATGCCCAAAGTCACACAAATTCCAGCTGAATCAAAACAGTTTCCTGGCTTTCCATTACCTACACTGCAAAATGAGGGCATTGAGGCTGTGTGGACTCTGAGGCCCTTCTAGCTTCTGCTGCACAAAAATAAAGCATCTACCACCATCTGTGTGTGGCATATACAGCACCACACATTGCATGAGATTCTCCTTTAATTTTCACAGCTTTGCTACAGACAGTGTTAATTCTGTACTATATTTATAACTGTCAGTCCCAGGTATAAATTTGATTTTATTGGTAATACATCATTTTTTCTACCAAATGCCAACTGCCATTCTTCTGCTCACTGCATTCCCTTGGGATTGCAAAAGATTCCTGTTAAGGCACCAGTATCTTTAGAAAAAGGAATGTGCTGGGCTGCACCATTAACTGGTCCCCATGCAGAGTCCATGTGTTAAACTAAGATTTTGCACAAAGTCACCCAGTTGAGACATTGTGACCCTGAAGTTGGGAGACATTAATCAGATGCCTCTTGGCCATTGCATGGTTCCCTGTAACTGTAACCCTACTCTAGCCTGACTCAGCTGTTGTAAGAAGGCAAGGGGAAGTGGGAGGAGTCAGAGCCCACAGTAACACTATTGCACAACCCTTAGGAACTGCCCTTGGGTGGTTCACCCTGGTTCTGAAGTTTGTTCTGTATGTGTAGTTCCTTCCTTTTTCTGCCTTCTCCTTATTTTCCAACTGTGGGCAATGGAGACTCCAGATGTATTCAGAGATACCCTGAAGAGACTGAGAGACTAAAGACACCTTGTGGGGTATCCACAAGGAAATTCCTGAAACTGTCTCAGTGCTGTGGAATTTCTCTGCTGTTTGAGTTTTCCAGATTGAGGTTGCCCTCCCTTTATCCTGCCCTTTAAGACCCCATTTCCAAGTATACCTCATGCCAGTCAAGTGGAGGAACAGATGAGAACCTATATCCTGCATCTTTACTTAGCCTTCGTTCTTTTCTCTTTCTTCCAGGGAAGGCAGCACAAGTACTAGATGGCAGAGGGCCCCAAGGCCTTGTATGAAATATGGGTTAGTCCTTGGAGGCTACATTATTATTTAGATTCTTCCCCCTAGCATCTGCATTCATAAAGCAATCATAAATATTTATCACAGTCAGAACTATCATCTTAGCTTGGGAGAGGGATGTCATAGTTAATAATCATTGCTAACTTTGGTTGTTGACAGTTGCACCTAGATGAAGGAGGACTTTGGAACCAGCAGTAAAATGTGGATGTCTGACTGGTAGAGAAGTCCTGAAACTAGACTTCTGAGAAAAGAGTAACACCCGTTAGTCTCAGAGTAGTTAGTCTTCTGGGAAAAGAGAGTACCCTGCCATTCTTGGGGCAGAATACCTCTGAAAAGAATAGTAGTCCCCAGACCTAGGGGAAAGATATAGTCTTGCTGACCAAAAGTATTTGATCTGATGATATGCTTATTTTTAAAAAGAGCAGCCACAAATTGCCGTAAGTGCTGTGGAGAAGGAAAGGCTAAGATAATAAAGTTTGTGTAGTATCACTGAGAGATGGGGATTGCTGGAAAAAGACGTTCTGACAGAAGTAGGTGTGAAGCTTGCTGAATAGGAATGATATGTGTCTTCAGAAACAAGAATGCAAGTTGTCTTAGCATGTTTTTCTGCAGGATAGACTAAGAATCCTTGAGAGGAAAGAAAGGGAGCACTTATCACCTACTGAAAGCCAGGTACATTGTGACTTTGTTCTGAAGGCAAGGTAGGTGAGGCATCTGTGTCTTCTCTTCCCAGGGCAGGTAAATCTCTTTTTTTTTCCAAATCCATTTTATTTCAAATATAAAAAAGGAAAACAAAATTTCAAAACACATCAGTCAGGGAGGGACAACAATGGTATATACATTGTGCATTGTCATCCCAGAGTAGAAGACATCAGCATTCAATTGTCTGAACAATACCAGTACAAATCTTTCTCTTCAGAGAAAGCAGTAATATAACTATCTTAACTAGTTTATATACATGTATATATACACATATACACAGGGTATATAAAAATATCTCATCTTATTTATCCATTCCTCAGTTGATGGGCATTTAGATTGTTTCCAAGATCTAGCTATTACAAATTGTGCTGCTATAAACATGGGTGCACATATATTGCTGTAGTACGATATTTTTAATTCTTTTGGGATGATATCCAGAAAGGGAATGAGAACTCTAGTCCTAGTTTTTTGAGGAAACTCCACACTTATTTCTACAATGTTTGTACCAGTACACTCCTACCAACAGTGGAGAAGGATTCCTTTTCCCCACAATCTCTCCAATATCTGTTATTGCTCAATTTCTTTTTTTTTTTTTTTTTTTTGGTCTTTTTCATTTTTATCGGTACCAGGGATCGAACTCACAACTGCCTGCTTGCAAGGCAGGCGCTTATGCCACTGAGCTAAATCCCCAGCCCCATATTGCTCAATTTCTTGATGATAGCCATTCTTTCTGGGGTGAGGTTTTTAAAATTTTCATCTAGCAAATGACCATTGATCTTGAACATTATTTTCATGTATTTATTTGCTGTTTGTATTTCTTCATTTGAGAAGTGTGTATTCATCTCAGATGCCCATTTTTGGATTAGGTCTTTAAATCTGGGAGAACTTATTTTTTGAGTTCTTTATATATGTTCTTGATCTCAGAAACAGCTGGCAAACATTTTCTTCCACATTGTGGGTTGTCTCTTCACTCTGTTGGTGGTTTCTCTTACTGTGCAAAAGCTTTTCAATAGGAGGAGATCCTAGTTGTTGATTTTTTGGTGATAGCTCCTGTGCAATCAAGGTTTTGTTCATAAAGTCTTTGCCTATACCAGTGTCTTCAACAGTTTTACCTACTCTGTCTTCCAGCAGATTTAGTATCTCTGTTTTAATATTAAGATCTATGGTCCATTCAGATTTTAGCTTAGTGCGTGGTAAAAGATATGGGTCCAATTTTAATCTTCAGCATGTGTAGAGCCAGTTTTTCCAGCACCATTTATTAAATAGGCTATCTGTCTTCAAGTGACTGTGTTTGACACTTTTATCAAAGAAAAGGTGACTTAGTGTGTCTTAAGTTGTTTCTGCATCTTCTAATCTGTTCCATTGATCATTGGGTCTGGTTTTTTTTTTTTTTTTTTTTTTTTTGCAGTACCACACTGTTTTTAGCACAGTAGCTTTATAGAATAATTTCAAGTCAGATTGTGATGCCTCTGTCTCATCTTTGTTCAGAGCAGGTAAATCTCAAGTCAGACTGAGTACTTCTTCCACTCTCTGTCCTCAGGCCCAGCTTATTCTCTTCCCCAGTGTCAGAAGCAGCTATCAACCTCCTTCTGCTCTTCCAGCCATCCTTTGCCAGTGGAATTTCCCTTGAAGAGTTATGCGTACCTAAAGTATTTGGGACCTGGATATTTAAGAGGTCAAATGAGCCAGCCTCCGACTCTAAATTGATGCAAACTAAGCCATCTTCTAAATTATGTCTGTGGAGTATAAAAAAACAACTGTACTGAAAGGGAGAGGTTTTTGTTTTTTCTCTTTCTTTCTTTCTGTTTTTGGTTGGTTTTTTGTTTTTTTTTTTTGTTTTTTTTTTTTTTTTGTGGTGCTACTGAGTGAACCAATTGCTTCACACATGCTCTACCAATGAGTTACATCCCCAGCCCTGAAAAGAAGTTCTGACAAATGTCTTCTAATGGTGCCATGCAGTCCTACTTAGACTGGGATGGAGGCAGAAGGAGCTCCAATCTGGCCTTCAGGGACTAGGGCTCTACTTTGCTGTATCTCCAGCATTCTCTGTGATCATGGACAAGCTACTTATTTCTTCCAGGTCTCCATTTCTCTGTGCATAAAACAGAACGTGTTAGATTAAATAATCCCTATGACCCTTTTTGCCTAAAGTTCAGTGATTTATACAATCCAAAGAAAGGAGAGTTAATATAAGTTACAATGGTCAGGGAAACTTTATTCCATACTTATTTACTTATTTTATTTTTGCAGTATTGGAGATTGAACCCAGGGCCTTCTCACTGAGCTTTGGTCTCAGACCTTTTAATTTTTCATTTTGAGGCAGTGTCTTACTAGGTCACTAAATTGTCCAGGCTGGATTTGAACTTGTGACTGTCTTGCCTCAAATGCTGAGATTATAGGCCTGAGGACATATGGAGAGCTGTCACAAGTGCTGGTATATAGCAGTAAGAAGAACAGATGTAGTCTTTGCCTTCACTGGGTCTACTGTAGAAAACAGATAAACAAGTAGAAAGAATAATCTGTGATATTGAGATTCTGGCTGGGTCTGAAGAGGGGGGGAAGATCATACAAGCCCCAAGTAACAGAATTCATCCCTCCCTCTTTCCTCTTGCCAGCAGAGAATCCTGCGGTTCTTCTCTCACATTGATTTCTGTTGCTATGGAGACTACCAACGGGACTGAGACCTGGTATGAGAGCCTGCATGCTGTGCTAAAGGCTCTAAATGCCACACTTCACAACAACTTGCTCTGCCGGCCAGGACCAGAGCTAAGACCAGGGCCAGACAATCAGACTGAGCAGCAGCAGGCCAGCCTCTCTAGCCGTGATGACAACTCCTACATGTATATTCTCTTTGTCATGTTCCTATTTGCTGTCACCGTGGGCAGCCTCGTTCTGGGATACACTCGCTCCCGAAAAGTGGACAAGCGCAGTGACCCTTATCACGTGTACATCAAGAACCGTGTGTCTATGATCTGATGCAAGGTGGTAAGGGATGGTAGAAGATCAGCAGACTTGAACATTGTCAGATGGGGCCTCCAGAACTCTGCTATGGATCACATCAGTCCTCAGGTTCTAAAATCACCAAGAAACAGTGCTAAGGGAGGTCATCATTGACGTCGACCAACCTGGTGGGTAAGGCTCCTTACAGGCAAAGACAGACTACAACAGTGAGAGCCCATGAACAAACACATAGAAGTACAAAAATATAATTACCAATGACTGGTCCAGTGTCTATGGTACTGGTAGTGGGGATTGAAGAAAGAGAAGAGGACGTAGTCACAGAGGGAAATGAAACAGGAAGATACTTTGGGAACAATTTTATTTTTCTAACTTCAGCAACCATGAGACTATCCTATATCACAAACAGGAATTCTGAATAGTTATTATATTAATTCACATTTTACATTTTAAAAAACCTATTTCATAGTTGTGCTTTTATCTTCCCTGCAAAGAAAGTAGTACAAGTGCCACAGGGCCCGTTTGGGCCAGGGTGGTACCATGATTTGAACTTAAGAGCTCTGATATCCTTGCCTAGAACTTTTCAAAACTCAATGCTACACAAGTATGAATTCAAAGCTGAAGTTCACACAATTCGATGGATTCTTTTTAAGAAAAACATTCATAATTATCTTACTTTTTCAAATATTACAAAAATGTATCACCACTTAAAATTGTGGCTAAGGCCCTTCTGACGACTTCGAGAAGCTCAGACAAATGTAGGGCCCTGAATGTTAAGCCTTACTAACTCCATGGCCTCTGTCTCTTGAGCCATGCCACAGGGCCCTTCTCAGCTGCATCTGCAGTCATGAGGTTTTTCACTGCCTCCAAAGCAGCTTTTTCTTCTTTGATTGAATTCTGTGTGGAGTTAAAATCTGCTTTGACATTATTATTCTGTCTGGGTGATTATTATATTTAAAAGATGCAGAGTACGATAGGCAAGGTACATGGTTCAGTAGGAGGAGAGCCAGCCCTGACTCTGATGTGGTATATAACCTCAGGCAGGACACTTCTCTCTGGTCCTCTTTCTGTTTACACAATGGAATAGTTAGAACTGACTGTCTTCTTCCAGGGAGTCTATCAGTTTTGATATTTACATACATTAACTGGAACGGTAAACTACTTTGTTTGTAGGTCAAAGATAACGAAATAGTTTCACATGGTTCAACCTAAAGCATGCAATGAATTCTTTACAAGTCATTTTCCCAAATCCAGGTCTAGAACCACCCACTGTTTTGTCTGTCTGATTTCATTTTAAGGGATCTCTATGGTGTTCACAGCAGGCCCCATTGTAACATACACATTTGTATATAAACTCTGAAAGAATATTTTCTTTAGTAGTTATCTCTGTGAAACAGGGTTATGTGTGATTTTCCCTTTCCACTTTATACATATATAAAAAAATTTGACTTACCTGACCATAAGTATATGCCTTGAAGCTACTTCCACTTTGAAATAAAACAAAAATAAACATCTCTGTGTTTCTGGAGTGGTGGCTCATAGAACACATTCTCCTGACAGACAATTATGTGGAGTGTGTGCTCCCTCTTTTTGAGGAAGAAAGTGGGGACCTCCTTAAGGAAATATGAGATACTGGTAAGACAACAAAGTTTGGTTTTGGTTTTGTGAGATAGGGTCTTGCTGTGAGTTCAGACTGGCCTTGAACACACTATGCAGCCGAGACTGGCCTTAAACTCATGGTTATCCTCTTCAGCTTTCCAAGTGCTAGGATTACAGGCATGCACCACCACACCCAGCACGAGACAGGAGATTTTGAAGCCGATAGCTTATTGAATTATAGAGACTATCCAGCCCAAAATACCAAATAAAATATTAAATTCATACAAGTGTAAAAATGAATGATCAGGTGATCAATCCTGTAAGGGTTTTGAAAAATGAGGGTGTCTCATTACTTGGAGTTTGACCAAATCAAATGTTAAGATCTTAAGAGGATATATGTAAACATTCTAATATACCGTGACCTAGGCACTCCCTGGAGCGCACCCCCCCCCCACCCCACCCCCAAGATCTGTGTTTTCTAGTCTGGGAGCTTTGTCCCGCTGCTTTGCAAGGCTCATCAGATCTTTGTCTGTACACGTTCTGCCCTCTGCTGGCCATATCCTAGCACAGGCCCCAAGCAAAACAACATTCACTCAACTGGACATGTATTGAGTGCACTCTATATGCCAAACATTCACTTAGACACACATAAACAAAAGAATTCCTTGCCTTAATAGTTAAGAGTATTTGCTATATGTCTAAGCACTGATCTAAACATTTTCATTTGTATTAACTCCTTCAGTTTAAAAAACTCTCATGATGACCCTCTGTAGCAAGTATTTCTTACCATTACTTCAAAAGAAGCCAGTTGTTTTTTTGTCTAGTTGTAGGCATGTTCAACCTTAATTCTACTGTTTTTCTGCTCTCTTATTTTACATGTTATAATTTTTAAAGTTTTAAAAAACATTTATTACTCATATTTATTACTGATACTTATATGTGGCCCAGGACAATTCCTCTTTTTTCAAAAAAACTGAGGGAGAAAAATGGCAGGCCACAGGTTGGACATGCCTGGTGGTGCCTTCAGAACTCACCTTCAATCCAGTTTAGTTCCTGTGGGACTCACAGCCCAGAGTGTGGATCTAAAATTCCGTGGAAATGAATGAGAAAATGATTCAGGAAAATAACGAAGAATATTGACACCAGTAGCCTGATGTTAGATTCTCTAGAAATAGGATATGAGATAGGCATTTATTGATGATGAGCATTTTGCATGAAAACACCTGCAAAGGAAAGGAAAGGAGGCAGACTGTGTCTCAGGTCATGTCAAGCCTCAGTTTAATCCATAAGGAGCTGTTACATGTGGCTGGGATATAAACCATATAGAAAAAATGTATATATTCTTGAGGCATGGAAACTTTTATATCCCCAAATCAGTCAGTGATTGTGAGCCACCCTGCTATTCAGTGACTAGAGGAGGGCTTCCAGGAGGTCGACATCACCTAAGGGTAATTCTGGGGAGAAGAGTAATAGCAGTGAGTTATTGCAAGATAGTACAGTTAAAAAAAAAGCTAAGCAAAGAAAATTTCTGTGTTCATTCTCTCATTTTCTCTCTCTCTCTCTCTCTCTCTCTCTCTCTCTCTCTCTCTGCCTCTGTCTCTCTCTCTCTCTCTCCTTTCTCTTTGACTAGGGATCGAACTCTACACCTTCACACACTGAGCTACACTACATCCTCGCCCCTTTAAATTTTTTTTCAGATAGGTTTTATTTTTTTGAGATAAGTAAATTACCCAGGCTGGCTTTGAACTTGCAATCTTTCTGCATCAACCTCCAAGAGTGCTGGGATTACAGGTGTGTACCACCATACCCATCTCTAAAGCTCAATCTCTCTCTCTCTCTCTCTCTCTCTCTCTCTCTCTCTCTCTCTCTCTCTCTCTCTCTGGTTTGTTTTTGGGGGGTTTTTTTGTCTTTTTGAGACAAGGTCTCTCTATACAGTTCAGGCTGGATTTGAATTCACTATGTATCCCAGGCTGGCCTTGAGCTCCCAGCTATCCAGCTATCCCCCTGCCCCAGCCTCTGAGTAGTAGGATTAAAAGTATTCACCACCACAACTGGCTTTTTAAGCTCAAGTTTTATTACAGAGTTGGGACCACCTTTTGTGGCTGTCCTTTTTCTACATTGTGGGGCTAATTAAGAAGAGCACACCAAACAAAGAACAAAAACAAGGTAAGTACCAGAAAACATGATGGACAGATACTGATATGATGGTCAAGAAAAAGGAGTATTCATAACCGTGTGGTTTGTTTTTGGGGGGTTTTTTTGTCTTTTTGAGACAAGGTCTCTCTATACAGTTCAGGCTGGATTTGAATTCACTATGTATCCCAGGCTGGCCTTGAGCTCCCAGCTATCCAGCTATCCCCCTGCCCCAGCCTCTGAGTAGTAGGATTAAAAGTATTCACCACCACAACTGGCTTTTTAAGCTCAAGTTTTATTACAGAGTTGGGACCACCTTTTGTGGCTGTCCTTTTTCTACATTGTGGGGCTAATTAAGAAGAGCACACCAAACAAAGAACAAAAACAAGGTAAGTACCAGAAAACATGATGGACAGATACTAATATGATGGTCAAGAAAAAGGAGTATTCATAACCGTGTCTTAGAGGAAGTGAGATTTGAGGTAGGATATGAATAATTGGTAAGATTTGGTTAGAAAGTCCAATATAATATGGCTCAAGTTAGTGTTCAAAGTAGGCAGATGGTTCTGCTCTACTTGGTCATTTAGGGACTTAGGGCAATGACTACATCTTAACATGTAATGCCCAAGGTCTCTTTTGTTAAAACATTTCTGGTTAGTGAGGAGAAACAAAGAACAGAAAGTCCAGCATCAGAGAGTTACTCTTAAACAAGAATGGCAAAATCTGCATGTATCTTTTCTGCTCAGATCTATAGATGAGGGCTTAGGCCACAACCAGCTGCAAGGGAAGCTGTGAAATGAGTTGCCCAGCTGGATAACCATGTTTTAGCCAAATATCCATTACTATGGAAAAAAAGAGAGTAGATTTTGGTGGACACATTCAAATTTAAGAGCTTTCACCCTCCCATCCTCTTTCCTACCAGGACTACCAAGATCAAAGCATTCAGTCCCTGCCAATGAGGGAGAAGTGTTGCTACCCTGATTAGATCATATTTTCAGGGGGAGCCTTATAGGTACAAATAACTAAGCCTGCCATGGCAATGTGACTTGCCTTTTTTTTTTTTTCCTGGCACCACTGAGTCTGGTCACTTTTCAGTAAAAAGGCAATATTAAAATACTGGTTTAAACAAGGGAGAAATAGACAAAGCAAGGCCTTCTGCCAACCTTTTATAGGAAGAATCCTGTTTCAAGTGCCACCCAGAAACTGAGAACATGATCTGCCTGGATGAAATCAGATCCCCCATCTCTGGCAGTGGTTAAAGTGTGGCAGCACATAAGCTCCTGGGAGTAAGGGAGTCAGCAATAAGTGAACAGGAAAGAGAAGGAGAAGAAAAAATAATATCTGATGAACAACTACATGCTTCACCTAGCTCTGTTCTGAGCCATAGGGAAGGCACACCTTGCCTGGGGCTTCCCAACCAATGACAGACCGATGCAGGGAAGCAAGTATCTGATGCCATCACCTCAATTTGGGACAACTCTGAGGGGCCGTTTCAGCTCTGGAACTGCCTGTAGGGTCAGCTGAGGCTTCAGATGCCACCACATTATTGAGTGGCTTTTCCTCTTGCACTTCTGTGTCTTCATTTCTTTATTCATATCTTTCAAATCACTCCCCCAAAGAGCCTTCCACCAACAATGTCCTCCATCCATCAGTTTCCAAGGGAACCAATCTTTCCATCAAAAGCTGTACCCTAACACTGAGTCCATTCCAAAGTTGGTACTCTATCAGTAATGATAAAAGAATGAGATGATTGAATATAGATGAAGGCAGATGGTGGATCAACTAAATCCTAAGGAAAAGACAGTGATAGAGACTTGGGTGTAGAAAACAGCCAGTTTTACTCACTGAATAGGAACTAGCCACTAGAGGGCCCAGTACTACAACTCTACAACTCTGCTACTACTCCTGCAAATAGAACTTTGCTCTTTACCTGCCAGGCGCCCAGCATACTTACACTAAGCGAAAAAGTTGTTGGTTCATTATTTCCTTCTCTTTTACACCAGTATCTTAGTCTGTTTCAATATTCTATCACTACGCCCTCTGTGACATTACATATGCTAAGTTTATTTCCATAAATCAAGACTCCTAAGTCTCGGTTTTTTTCTCACCCAGTGCTCTTATTATTCTGAAGGGGTTCTGAAGCTACAAAATGTAGAATTGCAAATATGTGATTGTGACAAATCTCTCTTAGGAATGGAGAAAAACAGCAACATGATCTGCTGAATTCTAACACACATGCACGCACGTGCATGTGCGCGTGCGAGCACACACACACCCATCATTTGAAATGAGGATCAGACATATAGGTTTAGATGTGAAACACAGTGGCCAAGGGAGAAAGAGGTCACACGAGCTTTCATAGAAGATGAAAAGTTTGAGGCCATTGTATAATTGAATAAAAGAAATTAATTTTCCTTTGTGGACTTAGTAAAAATACTTAGCCTTCATACCCTATTTGGAAGGACATTTGGTCCTCCGGAAATTAACATTTTCCTTTCCTTGGGGGTAGATACTCAGAAGTTTCTGTTTCTAACATGTAACTTTCTGAAGGCCCAAAGTTAGATTGTCTGGGGGATGGAAAGCTCTAAGGATTAAAAGGAGTTGGGTCCTATACAACTGGGCAAATGGAGGAGTAGCAAGACTTGTGTTTAGCCCAAGGGCCCAGCTACCCCAAGTATCTGGTAGTGAAGACTACAAGAACACTTGCAGAATGGATATCAAGCCAAGTTCTTGGTAGCTAGGATTATAGAGGAATAAACAGATGGATACCTTGAGTAACAGG